GTGAATAATTGCCCCCTTTACGTAGCGGCATAGATACGAAAGACACACTTCTAAATTGTGTATTTGAGATCGGTAGGAAAAAAAAATAATGGGTTAGTATAATTTTTGTCTCTAAAATTTCAGTCTATTATGTTTTTAATTCTTTAAATTTTAAACTCATAATTTTAATATCTAAAATTTAATCCATCTTAAAATGTTAATTTCTAGAGGTGTGATAATACTGAAATCGGGTGAAATGTCATAAATGGTATTAAAGTGGTGATGTAAACTCACCAAATGGCGCTTAACTGAATCTTAGATGGTCAACAAATTATATAGAAAGGAATGAGTTCTCAAAACACGATGTAGTGAATAACTCCTCAAACTAACAATGAGTGGAGGGAAGGGGCTAAGTAGCTACATTTTGAGAACATGTTCTTTGTGCTTTTTTTCCATTATCCACAGACCGCAAAAGGTTTAGCTAAATACCATATGGTGAGTTTACATCACTACTTTAATGTCATTTATGATACTTCGGGAACTAACAATGAGGGGGGGGGGAAGGGGCTAAGTAGCTACATTTTGAGAACGTGTTCTTTGTGCTTTTTTTCTATTATCCACAGACCGCAAAAGGTTTAGCTAAATACCATATGGTAAGTTTACATCACTACTTTAATGTCATTTATGATACTTCGGGATATTTTAATACTGTTATGACTCTAGGGACTAACATTTTAACACAGATTAAATTTCATGAATTAAAACTATAAGTTTAAAATTTGATGGATCAAAATCAAAATATATCCAAATTTTAGAGACTAAAATTTATATTAACCCAAAATAATTTAATAAGTGTGATGGATGACTTTTTTTGGAAAAATATTTCTGTTTGGGACATTGGAGATCCATTGTAATTATAATACAAAATCCTTTCTAATTCCTACATCCCATGTTTCTAATTTAATAACATTTAGTATTTTGTTTTTTTTTGGGTACAAGTGAGAGTATTCTCAAGTCATTTTGGGTTTGAGACTAATCTCTATTAGACCGGGAATGTTAAGGTTAAAGCTTCCCTTGCTACAAAAAAAAAAGCAAAAGAAAATCAAATTAGCGATGGAATTTAGTGACGGAATTTCCGTCACTAATCAAAATTAGCAACGGATTAGTGACAGAATTAGCAAAGAAATTTTTTCCATCACTAATTTCACCGTCACTATGGAATTCAAAATTCCGTCATTAATTAGCGACAAATTATTGATGGATTAGCAACAAAAATTAGTGATAGAAATTTTCTATTCCGCAGGAGGTGACAAAATAGAGATGAACACTAATCTCTATTTTATTTTAATAATAAGTTTAAAAAATAATTATTATATATTTATATTATATTTTTTGCAACGGATTAGTGACAGAATTGCGACAGAAGTTAGTGATGAAAAAATTCCGTCACAAAATGAGAGTTAGTGATGGATTGGTGACAGAAATTAGTGACAGAATTTTTTTGTCACTAATTTCCATTACTAATCATTTAAAACAAAATTAGCAACGGACTTGTGACAGAATTTAGTGACGGAATTTTTTTATTGTCACTAATAAAATTCCATCACTAATCCTTCACTAATTTAGCGAAGAAAATTTTTTATCATTAAATTCTATCGCTAATTTTAACGACGGAATTTGTGAGGGATTAGTGACGAAATAAAATTCCGTCACTAAATTCCATCACTAATGTCCTTTTTTTTTTTAGTGCCTAACAGGTATGCTTTCTAGGATTCGAACATATGCTCTTCTCCTTATGGGTTGACACTGCATAATTACTATTTCAACCAATAGCACACATGGTTTTAAAGATGAGTCAATTTATGAATAATACTTTTTTAAAAATCACACACACACTTTTTTTGTCTTTACAGGCATGTGTCCTTCTGTTAAAACCAATATCATATATGTGTGTATGCAAAACAGAATAGGTTAGGGTTTCTTTTGGCCAAAAATGACGAATTTGTTGATGATAGATTTTGCCTTTCAAGTTTTTCTTCAAATCTTGATCTTGTGAACAAGTTATTGATTGGGATATAGTTTCACCCAATAAAAAAGACAACACATGTTTAAATGCTAGAAAGTGCACTTGTTGGGGGAGATAAAAAAACTCTTTACACTTTAAGCCTCGAAAGGAGATATCTATAATCAAATAAAAAAATTGGTCTCTATAATTCTATAAACACTTAGACTATTTTGCCTCTCTATAGGTCAATGCCTATGATCTGAAACTTGAATGATGAAAATCAAAATGAAGACAAACTTAAGAGATAAAAAATTATATTAACCCGTTTTTTAGTACCATGCATCTTGAAGTACTCCTCCAATCCTTAATATAAAACTCATTTAACTAATTTGATTAGATTAAGGAAGTTCGGTAAAGTAGTTAATTATAAGAAATGTGACACATTTTTCCTAAAGCACCATAATTATCTTTCTTAATACTTCCTCTTCCTCTTTTACTTGATTATAATTGAGGGAGTATCTATAGGGGTAACTTAAAGAAAATTTATAAATCTGCAAAATGGGTCTTATATTTAGGATCAAAACCAACTCAATAATTAGGTCCTATATTAAGGATTGGAGGAGTATTTTTTTTCAAGAGCACAAAATATTCTAGAATAATTTTTTATACATTCAGCACTCTAAAATATTTTTTAAGAAGCACCCATCCCGTGTCCTAAAATAATCTTCGATGCACTATGCACCATAAAATATTTTTTCATTAATACATAACATCCTAAAATAATTTTTGATGTATCTAGCATCATAATTGTTTTTTTGGGAATAGCATTTAGTATCCTAAGTTTAGGATATTTGTTGCTACTCAGAAAAATATTGGGTGATACTGGAATCAGAATTCATTTTAGGATGCTACAAGGTGTTGCTAAATATATTTTAAGGTGCTAAGTGTATAAAAAATTATTTTAGAATACTGGATGCATGTTTTCGAAATAAAATATTTTAGAATAATGAGTGTATCAAAAATTATTTTAGTGTATTGGCTACCCTTGAAAAAATACTCAAATATACTAAATATTATTTAAGAAAACATTAAAGTACTATTTGGCATCAGGAAAATAGAGAGGGGAGTATCACCAAAAAAAAAAAAAAAAAGAAATGGAGGGAAGAGGACAAAAATTTTTTTAACAACGCTTCATTTAAAAAAAATTAAAAGTGTGGATTTTAAAATGTAAATAACAAAATTACAAAAGAGTAATAAAAATTAGGCTAAAGTATATACATTTGGTTCTTTAACTTTGTACAAAGTTTCAATTTGATCCTTTAACTTTAAAAAGTATACTTTTAGTCTTTCAACTCTAACATTCTTTTAAAAAAATGATAAGATTAAGATCTAAATATTAATAAAATATTCTCAAATACTAATAATTAAGTTTAATTTTTAAAACATATATGATTATTACAAAAAATTATCATTGAAGCCTAATGATTTTAGGGTTAAAAGACCAAAAGTATGCTTTTTAAAGTTAATGAATTAAATTAAAACCTTCTACAAAGGATCAAATGGATACTTAGCCTAAAAATCAGTTAAAAATATTTACTTCATTTCAAATTTCTCTCCACTTTTCCTCACCTTCATTTCCTTGTACCAAACAGCCCCTAAGCCCGCTTTAGGACTTGTTTGGTTGGAGGGAAGGGTGGGGATGGGTGGGGGAGTGAGTCTCTTTCCTCGTTCGGTTAAAAATTTGAAAGGGAAGGAGGCCAAAATGTTCTCTCTCCTCCCTTCTCTCACCCCCATGTTAGCTCTCCCAAATTGGAAATTTTTGGAAGGAAGCTAAATTTTTAGACCATCGTATGCTTATAGTTTTTTTATATTTCACTAGTACCCTAAATATATATTATATATTATTATAATATTATTTTTCAAATAAAAAATATATTATCTTAAGTAAAAAATAAAAAATATAAATTATTATAATTAAAAATATATTATAATAAAAATCAATTAAAAATAAAAAAAAATTATATAAATAAAAAATTATAATATTATAAAATTAATTGTTTTTTATGAATATATTATTTATTAAATATATTTTAAAGCTGGAAAAAGCAAAGCCTAAAGAGGATAAAATTTCAATTTTTTTTAGAGAATATAAAATTTGTTAATTTGATTATTTCAAATATATTATTATATTAATTAGAATTTAAAAATAATGTACCAATTTTTTAATACACATATTAACATGATAAGACTGAATTTTTATTAAATTATATAATTTAAATTAAGATGTAACTTAATTTATATAATATATCAATAAAAAATATAAATTAACATGTAAGGGTAAAATAGTAAATTGATTATTACTATCTCTCTCATCTCTTTCTTAAGCCAAATAAGGGATCATTAAATATCTTTCCTCTGTTCCCTCCCTTTTAATCAACCAAACAAGATAAAGATTAGGACTAGTAATATGAGTCAACCCGCAGGTTTCGGGTTAGCCCGTGACAGGTTAAGCCCACGGCGAGTCGGGCTGAAAAAACTCGTTTGAAGTTGGATTGGCCAAAAGCCAACCCTAACCTGCCACGTTAGATGGGTGGGTTGACCTGTCAACACTTTTTTTTTTTTTACTTTTTAATATTTTTATACAATATATAAAAATAATAATAAATTTTTTGTTTTTCTTTAAAATATTTGATTGAAAGTATCAAATAAATTACATACGTATTTTTTTTAATTTTTTAGATAGGATATAATATATAATAATATAATTATAATAATTAAAAAATTTTTAAAAATAAATGCGGGCTAGCCTGAAATTTGAGGTTAACATGTGATGGGTTGTGAGCCTAACAGTACGAGTTAAAAAGACCCCTCTACTTACTGGTTGGCTTTTGACCAACCTTACCTCGTGAGTAAATCCGGTTAGCGGGCTGGGTCTACGAGTCTAACTTATATTATTAGCTCCAACGAGACAAAAGCACCTCACCTTTCCCTCATTTCCCTACCCTTCCCATCAAAAATGACATTGTTGCGGGTAGAAGAATGCCGCGGAGAGCAGCCGTTCGCCTCTCACGCGTCTTCCCGACGGCCGAAGACGTTGCAGCGCCAAATCGCCGAGGCACTTCGCACTGCCACACAAGCTAGCGTCTTGTTTCCGTGGAATCTCCGACTCTATTCCCTCTTTCAGGTATGCCGAATGCTTGAATGAGGATGTGGATCTTCTCTTTCTTCTCGCCATTTAGATCTGCTTCAAATTCATGAGAAAGCTGAAACCGTGAAATGGGGCATTTCCCGTTAATGAGTTTGCATCGTTTTGGAGCAAAGCATTTTCTCAAATTGAAACCTGCACTTTCATATTCTCTGAGTAATTCGTCCAGATCCTTTCTCTCTCTGTTCTCTACTGTTGTTTCTTTTCCAACTCAAGCCTTTCCCAAACACATTTCCATCATTGATCATCTAAGCACCAACTTCAAATTCTCTAAAGCTCAATCGGTCTATATCTCAAAACGACTCTCTAAGGCTAGGTGGCCTCAACATCCGTGGACCGTGCTTAATTATTTTAAACAGATTGGACTTTCTGAATCGCATATTCAATCTATCATTAGTCGTCGACCCCAATTACTGTTCTCCCGTGTGGATAAAACCCTGAAGCCGAAAATTGAGTACTTTCAGCTTCTAGGGTTTCATGGTCCTGAGTTGGGTGAGCTTCTCTCAAAGAATGGAATTCTTTTGAGTTGTAGTTTGAATAAAACTTTGGTGCCCTCTGTGAAATGTGTAAGGCAGATTGTGAATAACGAGAAAGATTTAATTAAGGTGCTTCAAAGATATGCGGAGTGGATAATTCCAAGGCAACAAAGGGTTTTGGACAATGCTGCTTTCTTCAAGAGTTGTGGGATCGTTGGTTCTCAACTTTCATTTTTAATGACGAAAAACGCTCGCCTTTTTGCAATGCGAGAATCCCTGGTTAGAAACTATGTTTCACGGACTGTAAACTTGGGTTTCTCCGTAAACTCGCGAATGTTGGTACATGGGCTCCGGACAATTAGTAGTATGAGCATTGTCAAGTTTAACAGAAAGTTGGAAATAATTCAGAGCTGCGGGTTTTCCAGAGATGAGGCCATGCAAATGTTTAGAAGAACTCCAGGGTACTTGGCAGATCTGAGACGAGGCTAAAGTTTAAAATTGAAGTGTTCTTGGATAAAATTATGCTGCCTAAGTCACTACTGGTTAATAACCCTGTGATTTTGACGTTAAACATGGAGAAAAGGGTGATTCCTCGATGGAGGGTACTGAAACTTCTAATCTCAAAAAATTTACTTATGAATAATCCAAGTTTTCTTCGGGTGCTTCATATGCGGGAGGAGAAATTCTTGGAAAAGTATATTTCCAAGTTCAGAGATAATGAAGAGGCTTTACTGCTGGCTTACAAGGGCCACCATCTGGAAGATGCTTCTACATGATAATAATCATCATGTTCTGTTCACACGCTTTTATGCTGGAGCTTTGGGTACTATGGAATATACTTGGATTGAGGGGGACAGAGAGGAAGGTGACTGAAATTAATGCTGACATTTTGTTAGTTTAGGGTTAATTTTAACAATTTTGCCTTTTCATCTGACTTTTTCTGCATGCTGACTATTCTATTCCTCAAACATATGCTTGAGGGAATCATAGACAAGTTCTCAATGATTTGATGAAGTTGAGCTGCACAGGAAAATATTGTGAAAATGCTCTGTTGTTGAAGCTACAAATTCTGGAAAGATATCTCTCTTTCCTTCGCGAGTTTATGGTTATGGAGGAACAATTATCTGTTGGTAACTTCTGTAGTTTGTTTTCATATCTAATCTATAAAATCTTGTGTCTTGAAAAACTTTAGTTATTGGAATCTCTAGAGATCCTTTCACAGCTTATTACGGCAACTTCAAATGTCACAGATTTTATGTCTTCCTCTTCATCATACTCAGTCTCTGATTCTGAAGTGTAAAGCATTGAGCTTCATGATCTATAACAATTGCACTGATCTCAATCGATTCCCTCAAGGTCTTCCTCTTGAATGCAACGTTAACGCTTCTAAATCTTTCTTATATAGAATATTCATTCTTACTGCTTGATTTGTTGGTGCTTTTGTCAATACGTTTCAATTTAATATTTATTGTTTTTCAACAATTGAAATAGATTATTTATGTATTTTGATTATAAAAAAAAGTTGTGTTATTCCACTTATTCTTTACCTATGAGTGAAATAAAATCAACTCTTTTAATTGTATCAAGCATATAAAATTTTGTTATTTTTTTTTAAAGGAAAATAAATAAATAAATAAATAAGAGTTTTGAATTAAGCATTTATTATTAAATCAGAGTCATCACTATATTGGTTTAATTTTTGGTGTCTTTTAAACATGCCTTGGGTGATGGCAGACAGTTCTATTTCCTGTGTTTCTTTGTGAATACTTAATTTTGATCCTTTAGCATTTTAGGCATAGTAGTTCATTTGGAGTAAAACTAGGCTCACCCAGTGTTGATCTCCTGATTTGTTTTCTGAATATATTCTTTTATTTAGTTCATGCCGAGTAAAATCTCCTGCCACAGGGACAAGAGCATCTTTCCCCCATAGAAAAATTGTGGTGTTCTTAATAGGCAGATTATATTTACAGGTATTTACAGCCAAGACAAAGAAGTAGGCTGGCTTCCATTGTTTTTCCCCCCTTTTGCTTGCATGGTTTTATCTTTTCGCAAAGTGATATCTTTTCAGAACATCTTAGCATTGTTGAATAAGAGTTTTTGCAAGTTATTCATATAGTTTGATGTCCAATATCTTAACCAGAAAATCTTGAATATATCATCCAGTTACTAACATGCAACAGCGACGAGGATCTGGACAATTTTTGGCTCGTGTAATATGAAAGCATATTGTATGGGCCGTTTGGTAGGAAGAATTAATTATAATTGAAAAAAAATGAGAAAGAAGACAATAGAAAAACTTTGACATATTTGATATGTGGTATGCATTGTAATGAAAAATGTTGATAGAAAAATTTGTGATAAGATGAAAATGATAAAGTGATAGGAAGAAGTGAAGAATAGATCACTTTAACACCCTTCATTTGAAATGATAATAAAATAATTGATTTTTAAGTAAAATATTGTCACTACTTTTCTATTTTGTCTTAATTACGCGAATCATTTTTTTTATTTTGATAACATAAAATTTAGTTAAAATCATTAACATCATTAAAGAATATTCTAAGTATATTTTTAGTTAAAAAAACATATTAGAATAAGGGAGTGTTTGGTTTTTTCAAAATTATTTTTAAAAACTATTTTCACGCAAGTCGAGACAAAATTTTTCTTACACATTTATTTTATATACTGTAAAATTATTTTTAAAATCACAGTTTGGTTTCTATCCAAACATCATCTAAATCTTGTTTACTATTTTATCTCTCATTATATTAAATCTCTAGTTTATCTTTTAATATTAATATTTATTAATAATATATTTAATATTTTTTTACTAAATTGAGACATAATTTTATAATTTAATTGAAAATACATATATAGAACTACAAAACATTTTCAGCTAATATAATCTACCTCCCGTTCTTAATATAAGAACTAAATGACTAATTTAAATAAATTAAGAAAGCTAGTTAAGTTAATTATTTGTAATAAATAAGTGTTTTTTTTTAAAACATCCTTGTTAATCAAGTGTATTTGTTAGAATTAATATTATTAGAAGGATTATTTGAGAAAAAATATATAAATATGAATGACAAAGTAAAATTTTATATTTATGACCAAAATAAAAGTCAAATAAGCTCTTAAATTAAAGACTAGAGGTAGTATTTAAAAAATTACATCACAAGTAAGTTTGAATAAATAAACAAGATTAAACATTTAATTTTATTGTAAAATAAAAATTTGTATTTATAAAATTAATTGAATTTATAATATGGTAATAGTACAACAAAAAATAGTAAAATACGTATTAAAATTATTTTTTAATTTCATGTAAAGATAAATCATATGTTATTATATGATAACGTTAAAGGGGGCATTTTAATCAAAATAATGAATCAAGCCGATGATTTTATCGTCAACTAATTGTTGGGTGAATGGAAGTTGAATTTTAAAACTAGAAGAAAGGTTTGTATAACATATATTTTGATTTTAAGGAAGATCTATATAGGTTTTGAAAATAAAAGAAAAGTCTCAGTAATTTAAGTTAAATAGAGGGGGTTGATGTATTTTACTCATTTTTTTGATATCATTTATAAAAAAAATTAAAAAAATTATTTATGATTATGTTTATATTAATGGCCTCAATAAGTTTCATTTAATCTTTTAATTGAAAACTTATTGTTCTACTTATACAATAGGTTAAACTAATTACTTTAAATTCCATTACCTTGTTCTGTCAAAAATTTGTTAGTATCTTCAAACATCTACATTTGCTCCTAACTAAGATTTTTTAATAATTTTTTTATTTTTTTTATTAATATTATAAATTAATACTACATCCTCCGGTCTTAAATATGAGAGTTATTTATAGTGTAATACATTACAAACTAAATTTTTATAATACAAACTACTTTTTATATTTAGAACTAGAGCTAGTAATAAATAATTAACATAAGTTTATAGTAATATCTCCTACTGCCCCCTCACATCTTCTCCCTTTCATAATCACACTTATCCACCTTACCTTATGTTCATCTAATATAGTTAGAAGGTGAAATCTGCTGATCTGCTGATAAAAATCAGATGACGTTATCACCTTGAGTAAAATAGGTAGGCCATAGAGATGACTAGATGATGAAGGAACAATGAGAATAAAGAGCTTCAACATTTTTATAATATATTTTTAGTTGCTTGATTATTTTTTTTAAAATTAGATTCTGATGAGCATCTGTTAATTTTAACTTGATCTTCTAGAAAAAGATAATAGCCATGAACGATGCTTCCACAGTAGAGTTTTACAAATAAGATGGCTGATAATAGTTAGTATTTGGAGCAGTTTGGTAATTTTCACAAGATTTTTTCATGGAAGATCTTATTTTCCTGAACTTATTGGAAGTATTTTCCCTTGTGTAAAGTAAAGATCAACTCTCGAAGAAATGAACAACAATTTTTCCATGAACAGTCAAACACATCAACCACCAAAAAACGGCTGACTTTTTTCCCTGATGGTCAATTTTCTCTCGAGAGTGGTCTTCTTTGTATAAGGAGTAATTACCACACCTTTTATTCAGCTAAACCTTAATTCTTATTTTATAAAGAACGAGCCAATCTAATTTTTTTCTCCTTGTTTTTACTTTTCAAAAAATAATCTTCATAGTCTTTAATTCTTTTTTCTCTTCTTTTTCTTTTTTTATAACAATTCTTTTTCTCTTCTAATAATATGTTGCATGTTTATTTAACCCATAAATTCCATTTTTCTTCAGAGTTTTCCCAAGAAACACTTCTAACCCCTTGTTGTACTAAACATAGAGAAAGTGGAATCACATTCATGATATCCAACAAGATTTCACAATAACATCACAAGATAATGCAAAACACTACAATATGTTTAATTCAAGATTCCAGAAAACAAGCACTACTCATTAAAAAAGAAACTAAACGATTCTTTTTATTTAATTTGTCCAAAATAATATGCATAAAGGAGTATTTATAAAAAGAATAAGGAGAAATTTTGACTCGAACAAACTATAATTGATCTAAAAGCCCGAAAACCCACTTGAATTGATGAAATAAGAACAAGTGGCGTGTTCAAATGGAGGAAGGTGGAGGATGCCAGTTTTAATGAATTAGATGGAAAATAGTATATTCGAAATTAATTCGTAAAATAGTATATGCAGCTATTATACACACGTTGTATAATAGCTGCATATACGAGAAAATGTTTCCTCATACAATTTCTAAATCAGCCAAATTAAGTATTTGCTTATTTTCTTATTTTGAAAACAGTTTTTTTCAAAAACAAAAATAAAAAAACTTATTTAATAATTTGTTTTAAATTAATTGTTTTTAGAAAAACAAAAATATGTTTTTAAAAATAAAAAATAATTTTAGTTGTTTTTCTTATTTTAGGTTTTTTTTAATTTTTTGTTCAAAAAATTAGGAACCTTTTTTTCACCACTCGATGATTTTTCTCTAGTTAAAGATTTCAGTTCTCATCAAAATTTCACTTCCAATGTCAATGTGTTTTCTTTCTAATGTAATTTTTTACAACAATCATCCTATCAGGTTTTTTTTTTTTTACTTTTTTATTTCAAAACTTGTTTTAGAAAACAATTTAGGAGAAAAGACAAAAAAGAGAATTAAACAAACCTTAACCTTAGGTTTTAGTCATCAATGACTAGTGACCATCGCATCCAGTGATAGTATTACACTCTTTAATGTGGCCATTTCCATTTCTTCGATGAGTTTAAAGAAGATATGAAATCATGGAGATATAAAAGTAAGGCTAAAATACTCTCAAAATAAATATACAAAAAGAGACTACTTTTTGTGTTGGGGGTGATTATGGAATTTTAAATGGTTCCCACTATACTGCTGATAAACTAATAGTATTTTGTAAATAGAAAAAGTCATTTAAAAGTATGTTGGATATAAGTGTGCCATAACAAAATAAAAAATATTCATTTATTGATTTAAATTATTCTTCCAACCTCTTTAAATTCACGTAAGGTCTAAATCGCTTAAAGTATGTTTACTTTCATATTAAAAACCGCTTAAACCATGATTTACCTGTAACTAATTTGTCATGAATCCAAACCCAGTTATAATCTTCTTGACTCGAAAGGGAACTAATCTCATGCAATGCCTATCTTTCTTAATTGCTTAAGCGCAATGTACAAGTCAAAACATTTACCTTATTTTTATATTTTATTTTATAATCA